TATATATATATATATATATCTATAATTTCTATATATAAGCATGATTACTTTAGAGATAAATATCCGTAATTTGATGCGCATTGCAAAGTGTATGACTGTATTCCACGATGTGATCGATTAATTTAGTTTCTGCAACGTTCATCTAAAAAAAATGCATTACCGTAAATTTGATGTAACTCTAAACAACACAGGGACAGTAATAACGTGTAATATTGGAGCCACATTTTTTGCTTAAGCGAATCAATCACACACAGACAACACCCTTGACATGACTACTCCACCGAATCGTAACGAACTACACCCAACCATACAACGGCTAACAACGCGGTTGACGTAATCCATTCATTGAAGGAGGATAGAATGAACAATTTAACGCTATGGGTTTGTTCGTTTTAACTGCGCTCGCTTTGCATTTGTAGATAGAGCGTATCTTTCTCTAGTATATATTTAAAATGTAAAGAAGATAAAGGAAGAAGAAACATATTGTAAAAAAACAATGAAAGGAACAGCTTAAAAAATAAATTTGTTTCTTGCAGATTTATCATGTTACACTTTCTGCACTTAAAGTGGAATATACGAGAGAAAGGAAAAAAAGGACAAATAAAAAACAAATCTAATAGAGAGAGAGAGAGAGAGAGAGAGAGAGATTTATTCTTTTACGGTTGAACTTTATTTTCGTACTTAAAATAATAAAATTAGAGTTTTGAAAAGTATAATTACAGTGAAAAAAAAAAGAAAAAAGTAAATGTATAAATAAAAAATTCAACAAAAGAACAAATCTTGGATTTTTCTTTTTGTCTAATTTTTTTAAGAGAAATAGTAAAGAAGAAATATAAATATCATAAAAGATTCAATTATAAGAACGAGAGAGAGAGAAAGAGAGAGAGAGAGAGAGAATCTAATATTTATTATTTGCAAAATTCTTTATTGTATTATTCTACTTTTTATATTTTTATCCTTTTTTATATACTTTCGTATCTTTTTGTATCTACTTTCGTTACTTCCGTGCTTAAAATTTTTGCATTTAAAATGAAATAAATAATTATCTAAATGAGAGAGAAGAATAGGAAAGCTATAAAGTACAAAAACTTCAGCTTCTATAAAGAACAATCTTAGGATTTCCGTTTTTTCTTTTCCAATTTTATATGTATATCTATCTCATTTTAAGTGCAGGAAATACGATATGGCATAACGAACAGACCCTCTCTCAATGGAGAATTTCAGAAAATCCGGAATTCCGGAAAATTGCGGAACATGCACGAGCATGTTGAAGCATGCGAGTCGGCGCAAAGTGATAGTGAGCATTGTGATCTGTCAAGATTGTCGAGGTTGTCAAGTTGCGGCGGTGAGTTTCTGCTACGAAATAACATGAACGACCAGAACGATTGAGAACGACGTGGATTCGAGCTGTGACTACTGCGAGCAGCACTAGAGTACGACTAGAGAAGTCGACGATGCACGAGTCGCATACGCGAGTCGGATCATTACGTGATGCTCACAAGTTCGCGAGAGACGTGTGCACTTTGCACGAACACGACGTTCGCAGAACAATTTTGTCGTACGAGCTATAGTGCGACGAAAGACACTTCGTACTCCGATGAAGAAGCACTGAGCAGACAGCTCGTCGTGCACAAACTTGGTCAAAAGAGAGAGATTTGCGATGTCAATGGCTTTTTAAAAAGATGTGCTTCTCATGAAGTACTTCACAACAATTCTATATCAGAATATTCATTTGATTATCAATTGCATTATTAATCACCACTGTAAAAGTAATTTTAAGAATAACAGTGTGAATTATATTGTTTTTGGGCTCGCCTTTTTCCACTACGATTGAGTACTTAAAATTCTCTAATAATAATTCTCCTTTCTGGAGAAAACTTCTCTTTTTCAAGACAGAAGATATGTCACTAACAGATATCAGTGGAACATTAAAGCAGTATTTTTTTGTCAATTAATTATTAATATCTGCAATCTATATCTTATGAGATAATTTCTGCAAACATTATTTAGCATGGATAATATTTGGAAAAGCACAAGGTTTAAATATATCTTTGCTTGCATCTTGATCACCTTTGTCACATCATGTATAATTAGCATATCTCCTATCAGTATCGGTTAGTTATATTGACATATTGAAAAATATATCACAATATATTGTGATAAAATGGTTTTTTAAAATATGATTTATTTTAGATGAGTGCAAGTGTGAAGCAAATGCTCAACCAAGTCAACATCTTAAGCAAATAACTGATGAGATAAATGGACATAAAAAGAAAGCCGAACATCAATTGGCCATACTAGTGCCATTTAGGGATCGCTTTGAAGAATTACTAATATTTGTACCACATATGCAGAAATTCCTAGACAAACAAAATATAGATTATCATATATTTATATTAAATCAGGTATTGTAGTTCTAGAAAGCCTTGTAAACAATTAGAATACTACTTGAATATGTGTCTCATATTTAATTTTTTTTCCTAGGTGGACAGATATAGATTCAATCGAGCGTCCCTTATAAACATAGGCTTTCTCGAAACAGAGAAAGCGTTTGATTATATTGCAATGCACGATGTAGATTTATTGCCTATGAACGATCAGTTATCGTACGCATATCCAAGTGCAGGACCTCATCATATATCGTCACCAAACTTACATCCCCGATATCATTATTTTACCTTTATTGGTGGTATATTACTTATTAAAAGGTATGTTTAAAATTGTAATAATAAACAATGATATAAGTTACATTTAGATCGCTAGATGAATAAATAAGATAAGTAAAGAAGCGCCAAATACAGTTGAAGTTGGATCTTAGTAATAATAATAATAAATGTGAAATTAAACCACAAAGAGATAATACATTGTTTATTATTGTCGAATATACATTTTTGCAGGGAACATTTCATACAAGTAAACGGGATGTCCAACAAATATTGGGGATGGGGTCTCGAAGACGACGAGTTTTATGTTAGATTGAAAGAGGCTGGCTTGAGCGTCAGTCGTCCACAGAATATATCAACAGGAACGCATAATACATTTAGGTGAGATTCATTTTATGAGACTTTGTTAATTTCTGTATTCATCGTAAGATATTACATAAAACTAGATATAAGTTAACACTTATTATTGCATGCAACACTGCTTTATCAAGTGTTAATGTGAAATATGTATTACAGACATATACACGATAGAAATCATAGAAAGAGAGATATGACAAAGTGTTATAATCAGCGAGAGATTACTAGGAAAAGAGATCGACAAACTGGCTTGAATAATGTCTCATATAAAATATTGGATACAATCAAGATGACTATATCAGATACTTCCCTAACAGTTATTAATATCTCTTTGCTGTGTGACAAATCAAGCACACCTTGGTGTGAATGTGAGAAACTAGTCGGATCGAAGGATCAAGGGAAATCGAAAGAGAAAAAGAAGACTAATAATAATAAACTCGCAACTGGATTGTAATTATAATCTTACAATTAGTAATTTAATTGTTGAAGATGTTATAAATATACTCAAAAACAATCTTCACATTATTCCATTTTTTTATGTACTTGACTTAGATAAAAATAAAATAGTTCCCTACAATTCGTACTCATATATTGTTTATATAGAAATTATTTTAAATGCTTTATATAAATCTATTAGTTTCATTAGAAAATCATAAAAATTATTTAGTGAACATTGTTATTAAGAATGTAAATTGACAAATTATTTGAATATAAACATTTCCATAGATGATTATTTCACTATTTATTTCATGATAAATGATTATCTATTTCTGCTTTATATATAGTAATTAGATTGCACGTATTTTGGCATTTTTTAAAATAATGATTTATAACTTCTTATATAATTTCTTTATAATTCCGTATGCTTCTGCATGATTTTAGTTTCTAGATCCATATGAAGTTTTTGTACAGTTCTAATATGTTTCTTTATATGTTGTTCTGCAGTTGAATTTTCTGAATCATGAAGTTGTTTTTTCTGTGCTGCTTCCAAAGCTTCCTCTGCATGTAAATGTCGCAGCTTAAGTAACCTTGATTCATAGTGTAAAAGTTCCTCCTATGCAATATATATTCATTTTGATGTAAATATAATTGAAATACATTCGATTAACAATCTAAATTATGAAAATTTTGATAATGGCTTTCTTAACATTTATGATTTAACATCTATAATTATAGCTTATAATTATTCTTACAGATATGTATGAAAAAATAAAATAAAATTATAGTTATTATTATACCTTTAAAGACGCTAATTCTTCAGGAGAGAATTTTGCTTCCAGTGCAGTCTTCCATAATCCTTGTACTTTAGGTTCTATAAATTCTTTATAATTTGGTCCTTTTGCAGTGAGTCTGTCTAAACGATCAATTCCGTTTCTCAGCTCCAAATGTTTTTCTCTAAGTAAAAAATAGAAATTATTTTAATATTAAAGTTCATTTAACATCCTGCTTTGACTCATAGCTTTTGTCATTTAATTTGTTTTAAAATCGTGAATCTAAATATATTGACTTTTATTTTTAAAAATAGAATCAATCGTAAAAACTAATTCATACACACATATACACATACGTATAGCTTTTATAACATATGATAGTACCGAAGTAAATCTGCCTTCTCTATTTGACTTATTTTCTGATCTGGTACATTGTTTAATAATTCTTCCTGTTCTTCCAACTCGTTCCAGCTTTCTGATTTAAAATGTAACATATCTAAAAATATTAGACAATATATATAAATATAAAATATAAAAATAACATTTTAATTTAACCATATATACTATATGTGAACGTAAGACTAACTTTCAGATTTCTTTGAATCTTTAAACTCTTCTTTCAATAAACTTATATATTCGTCCACTTTGTCTTGATGATGTTGAAACTCTTGTTTTAAAGTTTCAAGTTCCTCATCTAAAATAAAAATAGAATTATAATTTTAAATTAAATTTTCTTATAAGATACTTCTATTGATGTAATATCAATAATTTAAAAAAACATACTGGTAAAACCAGCCATTTCAGCTTTAGCCCATAATTTGTTCAGTCTTATATCATTAAATACATCCTTTGCAACATAATTGCTACCATCATTTAGTGCTTTATGCGTTTTAAGTAACTTTGGATCTTCAGTATCAGCAAAATGTTCTAATAGATCATATGTGCTCATTATTCCTTTGACAAAAAGTAACAGAAGATTAGGATTTAGTAAAACAATAGAGATAAAAGTAAATGGATAACAAAAGTTACCGATGAGCTTTTGTCTCAGACGTGCCTCTTCCAAGCCATCAGAATCCTTTCCTGCAAATCTGAAATGCTTGTACGCAATTTCTTCTTTGTCATGAATCTTTAGATCGCTGAAGATCGATTGCAGCTTGCTATCAGTTAGACGCTGAAATAAATATTCACATATAAAATTAGAAATAGAGTACAAATGTAAAAAATATCTATATTATAAATTCTTTGGAGTAGAATTTCACTCTAAAGTGTGAAAATTGAGCCAGTCTTGAAAAAAAAGGCTTAATTTTCAATTTTTAAGAATCATCAGATTCACTTTAAATTTTAGAAAGTACATTTATTTATTTATTATATTTTTAATTGTATTCTATGTGCAATCTGTTATTTACATTTTTTGCCTTAACCCAAAGCACATTCAATTTTGCCATCCTGAATGGCAAATCCAAGTCTCTGAGAGATGTTGGGATCTGCGAGGAAACTACATATTTATCCTTATTTGCCTCAGCGGAGTATTTGTGGTATTTGTTGTCTCCTACACTGGTATGAACCGACAGACCCAAATTTATTAAAAGAATGAATTTTGCGTTCAGAAAGACCATTTTTGTGTTTTATTCATAAACGATTGTCACGTGATACACGATTCACAATGATACAAACAAGTGCAACGATGCAAACGTGTCAAACGAAATTGACACTGACCAAACACTATAGAGAATGGACTGCGCGATCTGTATCTAAGTAATGTATCAATTGTGGTCGACAATAATGAGAGAGAGGTCCGTGGGAGACGGCCAATCTCCCTCTCATTCTCTCTCCCATTACACCATTGAATGGAAAGAGATAGAAATGGCCGTCTGCCACGGTCCCTCTCTCTCATCCTTATCGACCATTTTTTTGTTATTTTTTAACGGCTAAAAAATAACAAAAAAATGATCAAATACATGACTCAATAAAGTCAAATTTTATGAAGTAAAATATTTTATGACAAAATATTTATGATGTAAAATTTTACTTTACCGAGTTACATATATTTAATCATACTTTTTTATTTCTTAATTAAATAAACCTACTGAAGAAACTATTTGAAAAAAGCATTAATAATAGTACTTTCAAGATAACATGGAAAGCCATTGTCCATATTATAATTATCATATTGTAATTTTTAATTATATATTATTGCAGAATATATGTTAATAATAAAAGATTTATTTTAATTATTTGTTAAAATAAAAATCACGTAGGAAAGAAAATATTTTAATGATATTTGCCGGAAAGATATGCTCCCAGCATACTTTTCGTATCACGATGCTCTTGGGGCACGCGTCACGTGAGCGATCAACGGCTCGGCCCCATCGACATCTAGGGTGCGTTCCGTTTCTCGCATGATGCGCATAATGCATCGTTTATCCTTGTTGCTCACCAAACGTTAAACAAGGACAATGGATGCATCATGCG